TATCCGAAATCACTTCCATTTACTATTCCCAATGTTAGTCCACTAATATATTCCACTTGAAGGAGTGAATGAAAGTAATTGAGCCGATTTGGATACTGAGTGCATTTCAGTCATTTCAATAATAAACCATGGGATTGGGAATTTAATGTGAGGACAAAAGATTTCTCCACGCAAATTTCGCAATGGGTTCAAGATGGTCACACGAATTCGCCACATTTTTTGACCAAAAAAAAAGCTGCTTGGTTTGAAAGTGGCTTCTGTGTGATCATACATCACTACACTATTGACAATTTTTACTTGTGAAATTTTGTGAATATGACACCTTTATAGGATTATGTGAGCTGTCAGCTAGGACCCTCAACAAGGGAGGTAATAAACTATCATGTCTTTCATATCACACCGCAGACCTGCTTGCTCCTATTTCATCTAAACGCAACTGCCACCATATCAGTTGTGGTGAAAATTAATATTTCAGTGTTCATCTTGTTATTAGGAGCATTTATGCAGCATCCCTGTGACCCTACAGAGGATGAGCAGTTTGGAGAATGGATGGATGGATCTGAAAATAATTTAAACTTAAATCATTATTTCATGTCTAAGTATTTACATGTAGTGGCCCTGATCACCATCAAAACAAAAAACAAAACAAAAAAGACCAGCTGACTGTAAATTATCTTTTACTTATTTGCTCTATATTTTGGATAAAGTGTACCTTAAACAACCTTTCTGAATGAAATTAGTACATCTCACTCAAGCTCATATCACACTCTACTTATAAGAATTGAAAAAAAAAAGCAAATATGACCTTCAACCACTAGTATGGGCAAATTTCAATGGCTTTCTTTCAATCCAAACAGTCTTTCATTGTTTGGAGGGTAGATTTCAAATCCTGAGGCCTTCACATGCATGATATTTTCCCTCTGTGTTCCCAGATACAGATCCTTTTGGGGATCCACATTGGTCAGTTCAATCTAACCCTTGTGCCCTGGGTTTCGCCCAGAGAGCTTTCTTAAACTAAGGTCAGCAGACCGCCAGAAAGAACAAAACCTATAACATTCCCATACAATGGGGCTTCAGCTTTGTCTTGTCACTGCAGGCTACGACCGCCACTCCAGCTGAGAGCAACGGCAATGACCTGACAGCCAATAAGCATTTTCACCAGTTTCCTCTGCCTCACACGCAGGGGCCAGTAAAAATCGACAATGCCAAGGTGACACATTAAGCCCCATAAAAATATTTGTAGGCTCTGTGTGCTTTTTTACGAGCATTTTGTCGAGTGTTTACGGGCCTGATCTGAGATACTACATCAAATACATGGTACACTAATTCAAACGCGACTTTCGTCACCTTTCAGATAAAAGACACTGAGAAGGGTTGTAATCTGTTCGGTTCAAAAAGGACACGAGAAGGTTATCAGTCAGTGCAGTACCTCAAGAAATCGAGAAAAAGAAATAGGGCAAAAATCTGAATTTCAACCAAGATTGTGAAAAGGCAGAGAGGGGTGGGTTAAAAAGAGCATAGGCTGTTATGAAGGTTAGTGATTGAGGTTAGCAACTATGACAGGCCTATTAGCTCTAACATCTCCACCTGCTGACACATCACTGCCTAGCAACAGAGTGAATTAGATTTAACATCACATCCAGCCGCCACACATCTCCTGTCCCCCTCAACCCAAACCCGAATTACGAAAAGCACAGGTTCCAGCATCGGCAGGCTGTTTCTTTCTCCCGTGTGCAATAAAAGCTGATTAGAGTTGAAACAGTTGACCGGTCCTACCCTCTTTCACAGCTACTGGATTAGAGGCTGAAGCCCATCATCTGTGAAATGAAATTTCAGATGGTCGAACAGGGACAAGTCTGAGGTGCAGACTGTATGCATGCAACTGTTAGAGGGTTGAAGGTGCCACCAAGACACAATATGCAAGGTCACACATCACAGCTAAAATGTTAATACAAAGAAGATCATAACATTTAACAGTCATGTGGTAACAGGACACACTCTGCATTTAAAGGTATGAAGCCCAGTTGTTAGTAGTGACAGACATGGGTCCAAATCAACCGTGTCTCACACAAATATGAAGATTCAGCGATTTGCTAACTGCTGATTTTAGAGCATCAGGCAATGGAGACACAAGTAGATTTACATTTAGATCAAAACTTAACATCAATGTTCCTCACATAAAACTAAACTTGCAAAATTGGTGTAGAAACTATTTTCACAGAAATTGCTAGTAAATTTCATACAATTACAAAGAAACGGCAAGCAACATTGAATTAAACGTGGAATTTTGAAGTAGAAAATCTGAAATAGTGTTTTCTTGTAAAACATACTTCAATCTTTTTTTTTGTTTGTTTTACTGACAACTTCGAAAAATACATTTTTGTGTAATGGTAACAGAAAAAATGGCACACATGCATACAGTAAGTCTACTCTTGAAATGTCAACATAATTCAAATCTAAAGCTTCGGCTTTACCAGCTGACAAGAGTGCCAAAACATGAATGGATGACAGTTGCAGGGTTGCCAGATCTGCATTATCAAAAATCTAAAATTGCCCAATTAAACTATCCCAAATACAAAAACTTAAAATATGACATTCATATTTTACCATACCTGTCAACCCTCCCGTTGTTGCCGGGATTCTCCCGTATTTTACCATTCTATCCCGCTATCATTCCGTTTAAATATTTTCCCGTATTTCTCCGTATTTTTAATCTTTCTATAAAAACAAAACAAAAAAAATCCCACTGGGCGTATTTTATATGCTACATTCGCTTACGGTAAAAGCCCCGTAATTTGTATGGGCCAAACCTCATTATATGAATAATCACGACAACAAATTCCAAGGTTGTCCAGTTGCTAGATCTTGTATGAAACGCATCTTTCTCACACGATCGACGCATACAAATTTCAACCCATTTGTCCCCTCAACTTGGCAACCTACAGCCCAGTGATGCTATTGATATGTGTGCAGTTAGTACTGCAGGAAGGAAACAATGATCACTGGTAGAAATGGGAGGAGAAGACTCAGGTGTAATGTATACATGTATATTTACATGTATAATGAGATATAGCTTACACTTCAAAATGCTATTTAATTGATTAAATATGAGCGCTGCAAGTTTTAAAGGGGTCATATGATGCGATTTCAAGTTGCTTCTGAATCAGCGACTGTAAGTATGTTTTGTTATTAGTTTAAGTATTTGCTATTGACTGTTCAAATGCGGAGTTATGCGCATCGTGTGTGTGTGTGTGTGCGTGCGCGTCCACGTGTGTGTACGTGTCAAATACACAAAATAATGATCTTTAAAAAAGCATCATATGACCCCTTTAAAGTCAGGTGCTGAGCTGTTTTGTTTACTGCGGTTGCGGGGGAAACGGCTATATTCCTGGCGAAAAGCGCCACCTGCTGGCAGACAATGAATTAGCATTTTTCAATAAGCCCTACTAGAGCCCTTCTGCTCCAAAGCCAAAAACGAACCTTATTTTTACGCAGGAAACATGCAGTTGTAAATGTGAACTGGTGGATCGACAAGAAGATAATGAATTATAAAACTCTAAAGATATAGCCGACACTAAGACATATTTATGTTACTAAATGAAAGTAATTGTTTGATAATATATATTTTTAATTAATATAAAAATTGTTACCCCCCCTCCCCGTATTTTCGTACCCAAATGTTGACAGGTATGTATTTTACTATCACTGTTATGCATTACCAACAATTTCAACTTGTAAACACTGTGCAGTTGTATACAGTATGTTTTCATTCATAATTTCTTGACAGCAGAAAGAGGTAATCTTTTGTTTTAGAACTATTTGAAAATTAACCATTTACAGATTACAATCTAAAATTAAAATTTCAAGATATCACTAGCCGGTTTTTAATAGAAGTGTCTGTAGATGACATCATACTTTTTAATAACTAGCAGCAATCCAGTAGAGACCAGTCAAACTGTTACCATGGAAATGAAAACAGTCAGGCTCCCTACTAGTGTCTCTCTTTCACAAAAATCTCTTTACTACGTCTCATCATCCAGCAGTTTTATCATTGGTAGAATATAAATGGGATATAATGAAATACAGTATTTCTATGCAGACATTTCTGTCAAATATAGTTTAGACATTTAACCTGTGGGTGAAAATAAATAAATAAAAAAATCAACCCGTGGCAACAGTTTAAAAGTAGCCCATTTCTGTAGGAAAACGGCAAATTTGGCAACCTTGGACAGTTGTTCAAAGTGTCTCTTATTATTTTCCGCATTGAACCACCAAACTTCAATAATGAAACTCAATTTGTCTCTTGTTGATCAATATCATTTTTTTTTTCTCCTTTCAAGTGCCACTGAGTATCAAGCATCACATGCAGTTTGTGCAACTAACAGAAAATTAGTGAAAGAAAAAAAAAAGCAGTTTGAAATTACACTAAATTATTAAAAGATTTAAAATGTTTAAAATCTAAACAGCCAAACGTCTAGTGTGACAGTGTAAAACATTTAGGTAAGCAGACCAAGATTTAAGAGTTGTTCTTGTTTTTATTTCAGATATTCATTTTTTAAATGTACTTATACCTCCAAGAGATACTGCACAATCAATTTGTTATTCCTTGTTTCCCTTGATTGCAAGCAAAACGCTTCATCCATGATTAAACCAGCAATCTAACAATACTCCAAGTATTTTTTCACAGAAAATGTTCCCTTCATACTTTGTGGTTTTATGCATCACATCTAGGGCACCAAACTTCAATAATGAAACTCAATTCGTCTCTTGTTGATCAATATCATTTTTTTTTTCTCCTTTCAAGTGCCACTGAGTATCAAGCATCACATGCAGTTTGTGCAACTAACAGAAAATTAGTGAAAGAAAAAAAAAAGCAGTTTGAAATTACACTAAATTATTAAAAGATTTAAAATGTTTAAAATCTAAACAGCCAAACGTCTAGTGTGACAGTGTAAAACATTTAGGTAAGCAGACCAAGATTTAAGAGTTGTTCTTGTTTTTATTTCAGATATTCATTTTTTAAATGTACTTATACCTCCAAGAGATACTGCACAATCAATTTGTTATTCCTTGTTTCCCTTGATTGCAAGCAAAACGCTTCATCCATGATTAAACCAGCAATCAAACAATACTCCAAGTATTTTTTCACAGAAAATGTTCCCTTCATACTTTGTGGTTTTATGCATCACATCTCAAATAGATATACAAGTTCAATCTCAAAATGTCTGCATAATATTCTTGTCATTAAATCTGCATGAATACCAAGCACATTCTTGTAAACTGACTGCATAACAACTGTAAATAAGAATGTTATAATTGACAACACATGTATAAATCACAAGCAGGACTGCAAAGGTGTGTTATGTAGTGGACAATGATAATGATGAAGCATTCATAATGATATAATTAGATTCTGAGATGTTAAGAAGATTGATTTACTAACTTATCTAAAAATAAAACAGTGCTGATTTTAAGAGAATTATTCAGAACAGGTACATATTTGGAGATTAAACTACATAAAAATAAGACATTTAGTTTGAGCATATTGAATGTAATTCTCAAACTTCTTTCCCTTTACCCTGTATCTGAATATCTGATACTTTAGAAGAATATGAGGCACAAGTTACATAAAGTGCAATGGTTGCCGTTTTTATAAGTCTATGCTAAACTCCATAGCTGAGCAAAAATTTCTTGCAAATGTTTGATTTCCTTCTATTGTTTTCCTCTCTGCAAAGGTAAGAACCTCAAAGGTCACTTCATTTTTTCATAATATATTGGCCCTGGGTATATTAGTCACCTTTCACATCTTTCTGTACTTAGAAAGACTGTGATTTAAGAAAAGGAGGGTCCCAAACCTCCTGTCCTTGGATAAAATGTAGGGTCCTTACCATACAGTGCATGTGTTATAACTGAGAGGGGGAATGATTTATTTGGGCAGGTCAGTAAAGGTCACTGAGGCCTGCTATTTTCCGGGCCTTCTGCATCAGGGCTCTCAACTGGAACTGTTTTCTGGAGAGAAGGCGCACATGCTGCACACAAACACACACACAACAGAATACTCTGTTAATATATATACAAATATTGTGCTTTACAGTTTACTCGACATGACAATGGTTAAAAATAAATAATGCACAGGGTACAGTTGAGACTAACCTTAAGAAAGACATCCAAGTCAATGACATCTTTGCGTAATGCTTCACCCAAGTAGAAGATCGTGTCTTCTATGGCGTTTTCTTCAGCGTAGAGGTTCAGGATCTGCTTATAAAGGGGAGCAGTGGGCACAATCACATCATCAATATCATTGTTCTCAGTCTGGTTCTCAATTTTTCCCAGAGCAACAGTCAGCTCCTCATCTTTCTGCTTAAGGAGATCAATGTTTTTGTCAACATCAGCCTGCAATTCAATAGAAAGAACATTATTATTATTAGTATGTATTTTATAAAATATTAAAAACATTGTTTCCAGGCTGATACCTTGTTAAAAACAGTGACTTACTAGAAAGTATATATACAGTAGAGTTAAAAGCATCAGTCACTATTAGCTCAAGTATCAACAAGGCAACAGGGTACAATTCAAAATGTATAAAACGTCTCCTGTACCATCTCCAGGTCTAGATTGGTCACCATCTCCTCCAGGTTCTGGTGGCCTCTCTTTAGGTCCTCCTCTGTCCTTTTCAGTGCATCCAGCTCTGCCTGTGCTCGATCCATCTCTTCTTTCATCCGCCTGCGCAACTTGTCACTGACTGCAGACACCAAAGATGCACGGATTGTGTCCTCCCCGATGGTACCGTCACGGGTGGGTCCTGAAACAAAGCAAAAATGTTTGCAGGTGTTTCAAAGTACAGGTTTTTTTTGTATGGGTTTATGTACACTACTGTTTAAAATCTGGGTTGGTAAATTTTCCAGTATCCAATGCTCACTGAGGCTGCATTTTATTTAATCAAAAATACAGTAAGAACAGTAATAGTGTAAAATATTTTTACAACTTAAAATAACTATTTTCTTTTTTAATATGTTACTTTTATATTTCTTCCTGCACTAAATCTCTTCATCATTACTCCAGTCCGCAGTATCACATGATCCTTCAGAAATCATTCTAATATACTGATTTGCTGCTAATGAAACATTTCTTATGATCACAATTAAAAACAGTTGTGCTGCTTAATATTTTTCTGGAAAATGTGATACATATTTTTCGGGTTCTTTGATGAATAGAAAGTTCAAAAGAACAGCATTTATTTGAACTGTTAATCTTTTGTAACATTATCAATGCCTTTACTGCCACTTTTGATCAATTTAATACATCCTTGCTAAATAACAGTACCAATTTCATTCACAACAAAAAAAAAAAAATCCTAATGACCCCAATCTTTTGAATAGCAGTGTACTTGATTTTGAGTTTAGAAATGCATGATTTCACTACTAACTTAACATGCAAGATGTCTGCTCACCCACTGTAGTGACAGAAGACACTGGGGTATAGAGAGAGGAGCCTGAGGTAGTGGGGTATCCAGAGCCTACTGCAGGATAAGGGTAGCCCTGAAATCCACTGACAGACAGAAAAAAAAAAAGAATTTTTGATATATATATATATATATATATATATATATAACACACACACACACAATATCCCACAGAAGTGAGTACATCCCTCACATTTTTGTAAATATTTTATTATATTATATATTTATATGTACTTTTCATGTGACAACACTGAAGAAATGACACTTTGCTACATTACACTGTTATACAAGCTGTACACTCACTACTTTACATTGTAGCAAAGTGTCATTTCTTCAGTGTTGAAGATATAAAAGATATAATAAAATATTTACAAAAATGTGAGGGGTGTACTCACTTCTGTGAGATACTGTATATACACAGTAAAATTTAATTGGCATTTACACAGCAAGGTTTAACGCAATGTCCCATCTCTTTATATACACTTCAGACACAACAGCCTGTGTTTACATTAATCACTCGTCACAAGCCTGTTAGTGACCAAGCATAGTTAGAACTTTTTCTTAGGTGTAAAAGTGTTGCTAAACGGCACCAAAAATGACAAATTTTACATGTCCTTTATCTTAGAAATATCTATGAAATATCACAAGAATGCAATTAATTCTTCGAAGAAGGAAAATATAATTCTATTAATTATTATGTTCATTATACGAACTCTCATTACCCTTGCATGAGCAAGGGTAAGCCTGGTTAAGCCTTCATTCCAAAAAAAGATTGAATGCATCAGAGTGTACATCTATTTAGGAAATGTATTGCGAATGAAATACATGTTTGTTCTTTTCCTCCTATTCTCTTATGGAAATGCTGGAGATATTCACTCAAACCGTGTATTATGCTGCAGTTTGCTAATTCTGCTTAATAATACATTTCTACACACATCCTTCACATTGTTTCATGTATGCACAAAACTAGCTTTGAGTGTATCGCAATTTTCACGAGTCTGCCAGAAACTTGTGGTGCTTTACCTGTGTATATTTAGATTTACAGACTGCTGCTGCCTAGTATAAAAATAAATGTCACTTTGCAGAAAAATGCATGCTTGACATTTCTCAACTGCTTGTTATCTCAGAGCTACAGTATTACATGCACAGATATAAAATATTACATCAGATATAAAATATTAGATATGAAATATTGTGCAATAAATGGAGAATTGGAAAGGAGAGTTTAGACATAGGTCAGATGACCAGATATGTATTGGATTTAGAACCACATATGAAGCCAAAATCTTATGTTTTTTTTGCTGTCTAAATGCAGGTAACAAGATCTGATCTGTGGCAGATGTCTGAGAAAAGCACTACCGTTCAAAAGTGCAGCCTTATGCTCACCAATGCTGCATTTATTTGAACAAAAGTACAGTAAAGAGTAGTATTTGAATATGATTACAATATAAAACAACTGTTTTCTATTTTAATATAGTTTTAAAACAGCTGTGCGGTCTAATATTTTTCTGGAAACTGTGATACATTTTTTCAGGATTCTTTGATGAATACAAAACAGCATTTATTTGAAATAGAAATATTATAAATGCCTTCTTTACTGTCGCTTTTGACAAATTTAATGTATCCTTGCTGAATAAAAGTATTCATTTATTTAAAAAAACAAACAAAAAAAAAACGTACTGCTTTTGAATGGTAGTGTATACATTTAGGAATTGAGTTGATCATATGCCCATGATTTGTGATTGGCACACTGAAAGCACTTACGCTGGATTGGCAGGGTGACCTTGACCATAAGGCAACCCTGGTGTGCTTGGCATGTAAGAAGCTGGAAAAACATTGAGTTATATAATTATTGCTGATTCCCAAAGTCTAAATGTTTATACAAATGTTACATAAACCTTAAAATGTTTTCTATGAGATCAAAAATATTGCATTGAATCGAAACGATCAGACGCAAGTCTACGCTCACTGTTAGGTGGGCCTGCTGCTGGGAATGCTGGGTAAGCTGCCTGAGTGGTGGGCCGTGAGAAAACTGGTGGTTCCTCTCCAAACACCACAATCATCACCCGGATCAGACCTAACAATTCAGACTGGGGCTAAAAAAGACAAAAGCAAACAAAAGATAGGTTTATGTTGTCCTACATTAAACAGACAAAGATAAAAAATAAAAAAAGACACTCACAGGTTTCCATTCATGCAGATATGGGAGGTAAATCTTTCCATTGGCATCAACATGTTTCCCTGTTTTTATCATCATGGCACTTGTGGGTTTGACAAAACAGATGGGAGGGTTGTAGGGGTACGTGTCCAGAAGCCACAGGCAGATGGGAATGTTGTACACATTTCCTATAGACGAGGAAAATATTAAATAGGGAAAAGGGTCCAACATAAAGAAATGACTCATCTGGATACAGCTGGATTGCTAAATGGGTCTGAGGAATGGAGAAACTCAAACACTTCTTGAAAGCAGTGCTGTCTATACCTCGGTAGCTTACTGGCACTGTTCCTGTGAGACTCAACAGCTCTTTGGTGGAGCCATCATTGAACACTGAAATAAAGAAAACAAAATGAGTGCAGGGCAATACATACCTGTATATTTACAGTACGATGGAACTGATATCATTCAGAAAAATCAGAGGACTAGACACGACATTTACACAGCTTGTGGCAGAGTTTATTCATAACACAAAAAATACTTGACGTATGTTTAAAGCAATCATGTGGATTATTGTGATGCTTTTATCAACTGTTTGAGCTCTCATTCTGACAGCACCCAATCACTGCAGAGGATCCATTGGTGAGCAAGTAATGTGATGCAAACCTACATCTCGAATGGCCTGAGGATGAGTACATGTTCAGCAATTTTTCATTTTTGGGTGAACTATGCCGTTAAGTAAAGTATATGTTTAAAAAAAATACATAAATAAATTAGAGAAGAGTGGGGTAAGTTGTGTCATGTCAAGGGTTAAACTGAGACCTTAGGGGGGGAAAAACACTATGACATTCCAGGGTTTTGCTTGGCAGCACAATTTTCTGTTTTTTCAACATATCTATAAACCACTCATAAGAAGGTGTAATATTCACAATACTTCAAAGCGGTGCAATATATTTTTTTTTAAGGAAATATTATACTATTCCCTCTTTGAAGTTTCACAAGCTTCTTTAATACAAAATTTTGTGGGAAAAACCCTTGATCATTTACTTTGAAATGTGGGGTTCTCTTTGACAGTACTCCTTCATATTCTTTAAACATCAAGGTACAATGAGACTTATGTAACAGTATTTCCTTTCTGAAGCATCTGACACATATTTCTCTACAGCGTCAGCTACCACTTTAGGAAATATGCTGTATTTAATCATTCATAACCAATATCTGAAATAATTTATAGAATTTGCTTTGAAATAAAAATTATTTTAATGTGGCATGTCAAAAATACACTGACATGCCAAACTTTTTTTATTTATTTATTTAAAGGGGTCATAGGCGGGGCATAGAGGACCTACAATAATGTACAGTATTTGAAAAATAATGTGTTTTTTGAACATTAAAGCATGTCAACATATTCTGTTACACCAAATACACAAAATGATGATCTTTAAAAAAGCATCATATGACCCCTTTAAAACAATAATTCTTACATGCACCTCTAACACATAACATGTGTTTGATGGGCCCTGTCTAGATAAAGCCATATGAAAAATATGCAGGTTTGCTAGATTAAACCCATCTCTCTCACCTACTGTACATCCAAACATCACAATGGTTCAAAAATGTAGCTACACTAACGCTGAACCAGTTTTGAAAACAATTTCAACTAACTGGTGTCAAGCTAATTTTTAGTGGATGTATGAAGTCAGTTCTCCTCAAGTTTACACAGCTGACACATTAACAACATATTCCAACTTATGACAGCCACAAAGTGTCCAACTACTTTTGTTTTTATTTGTAGTAATATAGTTGTATTTGGGAAAAAAATGTGGTTGAAGTTTGGAGGCAGATGAAGTCTTACCGTAGTTGTCCATCACAGGTTTAAGATCTTTATAGTGAGACGCGACGTTTGTTATGTCGCGTGAGGTCAGATCCCTGTATTTATAAATCTGTGTACACAGAAAAACATCACCCATACGACGACAGATATACTTTGTAAACAGCTTCTCTGGTATGCATTATTATTATTACGCATATATTTAACGTACCTTTGACAGCGTTTTCCGTAAGGAACTTTCGATGATTGCCGCCATGCTTAAAAAGACTATGAACCAATGTATTACTTAAAACGACTGCACAGCGTTTATTAGCTAAATTATGTAGTTGTTGTTAAGGATGTAAACTCATAAAAATCAAATCATCGCATCCATAACAAAAAAGGAAATCACGGCTGAAATGCAAGAAGTCACTTCCGGTCAGATGACTGATGACGCAGACGCTATCGTGTGCGTGTGCTCTGCATAATTTTTTAACCTTATAAATTCATCTTTAGGATATAGTAACCAAGTAATATGTGATTTTTAAAATGTTTAAATATGCAAATGTAAAAAGGATGCTCAGGAAATCAAAACAAACCTCTTTATTTGACTTACTTTCTTAACACAATAATAACGGTAGGCACAAATCTATAACATATTGTTAAAAGGAAATTCATTGTTGTCTTCACACACTATAGACACAAAAATAAGAACAAGTTCTTAAAAATATTAATATTTTTAAGTATTAATTGCTGCAAAAACCAATATGATTATTTAATACCAGAACCGACACAGCCTTTTGGAACGCTAACGCTGTGTTCTACCATTTCTTTTCCATAAAAAAAGAAAGAAAGAAAACATACAAATTATTTAGCAGCAGTTGGCGTACGACAAGTTCAAAACAGAATAACGTTGGACAGGTCACGTTTTTGTGGATTTTTTTTTTTACATAATGTTAGTCAGAGAGTGTTAGCCTACGGAAAATGGCCATTAACCAATAGTATTGATGTAAAACACTATTCGGTAGCTAAGTGGAAGCAATCTCGCCACCTGATAAACCCACATTACTCTGTGGCAGCATAGACAGTAAATCTATCAAAAAGATCTGGATGCCTACAGCATTCTGACAGAATTCCCTGAAGGTCATATCCATAGCTACGGACTTGTGATTTAAAGGGAGAATCATATCCGTCCATGTATGTCCTTGAGAACAATCAATAGACTGTCAGGGAATAAAACACACCAGAATCCTTACAGAAAAATCATCAAATTTCAACCAGAAAGAGAATACACTCACTACTAGTCAAAGACATGTTAGTTAATCTGATTTAAGTAGCCTAAATGAACTAGAAAGATCTTTGTTGAGATTTAAAATCTGTACTTTGCAAAGAGACATGAGCTACTTTTAAGCAATCAAAAAAGAGAAAGTCCAGACTGTGGCTCTTCCCTGCAATTACAATGCCATATGTTGCCTATGAACATATAACTTAAGGTTCCCTCATATGATAATTTACAGTAATGGTATACCGTCAATCTGTTTTTTTTTTGTTTTTTTTTCATTTGAATTCCACATTTAAACCTAAATCTTCACTCCCTAATGACACAAACATGGAATATTTACTTCAGAAAGGCATAAGGGGAAAATGCAGTTGAAGATTAGACAATATGGTATACATGTAAAAGTTTCAAGCTTATACCCTGAACATGGGAACGGCACAGTACTTGGCAAGAATATCAACAAGGCTTTTCAATCCAAGCTTTTAAGTTTATAGTAGCTTTGCATTCATTTTCCAACAAGTATGTTTATTCTTTGAAGAGATCTTCATTAATCTGTCTTCTTTAGCCAATGCAATTATCTGCAATGCATTTGTCTAATATCGAAAAATAAAAAGCATCACATCTGGATATCTAATCAAGCCACAATTCAAAGACCCCGAGGGCCATTCAAAACCAAAAGCTAACAAAGAATAAAGTCCTCCGCTTTAAAATTTTGTCCTACACCATGTGCAAATCAAAGACTTATCGGCGGTGTACCCTCTAATCGCAATCTATTGCACCATAACCTCTGATAAACACACTGCATATGACTACAAGTCCTCTTTGCAAGAGAACACCATGAATTGTTTAATTTTATTCGGTTAGACTTGCTCTAAGCAACAAATCTTTCTCACATCTAGACGTATGCTAATATAACTGATGTAGTGTTTCTCATCTCCATCTCGTAAAGTGTTTTTCTAACATCCACATTTAACAAAGCAATATGAGAGGTTATTTTCTGAGCTATTACTTCCAGTTAAGAGTAGATAGTTTGTTTAATGTAAATATATTTAAGGGTGACAGCTTCATCCAGTTGTAGCAACTCCAGTGTTGAGACTGTTAAAATGAGGTACAACTTATTTCATCTCCAATGAAGGAGCAAGACGGGAGCATCCGAAGGGCTGCCAGAATAAAGATTTCCCTTTTACACAGTCTGCTCTAAACGTCCAGCATCTGTGTAGGTGTTGCAGTGTTTGTGGTCTGGAAGGCTGCACCGCTCTAAAAGCCTCGTCATGCACATTCACTGCAAAGACAAGGGGAGAACTGAGTACACATGAGCAGCAGTACACAATGGCTTAATTATCCAGGAATACTCATATGTTTAATTTATTGAGAACCATATGAATATATACTAAGTTGCATGATTTTTAAAACGTTTACTAGCATACAGAATAAAAAATGTTTACCAGATCATGACACCACACAGCGGCAGTTCATACAGCCTTGGCCATTGTCATCTGGCGGGTTCAGTTTCCTCAGCTTATGCTGCCTGATTTCACGGACAAGAGTGTAAAAGGCATCTTCCACTCCCTGAATAGAAACACACACACACACAGGTTTGTTTTTTGTGAATTGTGGGGACATTCCATAGGCATAATGGTTTTTATACTGTACAAACCGTATTTTCTATTGCCCTACACCAACCCTACACCTAAACCTACCCCTTAAAGGAAACTTTCTGCATTTTTAGATAAAAAAAAAAAAACTCATTCTGAATGATTTATAAGCCTTTTGAAATACGGGGACACTCAAAATGTCCTCAGAAATCACCTTCTCGTTGTAATACCTATGTCATACCCATGTCATTATACAAATTTGTGTCCTCAAAAATCACAAAAACGTGCACACACACAAACACACACACACTAATTAGGGCGTTTCTTCTTACATTCTTGCTGTTGGTAATAGTTTAACCTGAGCTATACATGCCACCACACTCGTATAAATAAAAGGTCCAAAATGTTTTTTTTTTTAGTGATGCAATATAAGAACCAGTTCTTAAAAGGGACATCGGATGCCCGTTTTCCACAAGTTGGTATGATTCTTTAGGGTCTTCATGAAATGTCTGTAACAGACTTTGGTTAAAATTCCTCAATGGTCATGTAAAACAACACCCTTTTTACCTCGTCAAAAACAGCTCTGTTTGACAGTGAGCCATTTCGGAGCATGTCTCTTTAAATGATAATGAGCTACTGCTCACCCCGCCCCTCTCTTCCGTGGGGCGTGTTGACACAAGATGCGTGAATTGCCTTGGGCTCCGTATATATCTCGAAGGTGGTCTTATCAAATAGCTAGCTATCTACGTAGAAACCGGCTACAAATTGAAACAGCTCGCTGGATGACAATGCTTCAGACTCAGACAGCCCATAACAAACTGGCTGCGTGTTTTCTTTTCAGCTTTTCCTGGCAGACACACCAGAAACCTGACAAAATGCAAAAAAAAAAAAAGCTAAGAAAGTGAATATGTCATCCTATGTCCCCTTTATAAGAATCATTTGCTCTTTGCATGAAAAACATTTTAATATTCTAAAGAACCTTTTGTGCAATGGAAAGGTTCCATGGATTTTAGATAAGGTTCTTCATGAAACCACAGATGCCAAAGAACCTTTGTACAAAAATACATAAAGAGTGCAATGTACAAAATGAAATTAGGGCAGCTTGATACTTGACAGAATTTTATAATAAAATGTTATATAACAGAATATATTTGGTCAAAATTTTTCTAACCTGTCTTGTCTTGGCTGAGGTTTCAATGTAGGGTATACCATAGCTACAGGCGAGTTCCTGGGCTTGTCTTGTGTCCACAGTGCGCGCTGGTAAGTCACATTTATTACCCACAAGCACCATCGGCACATCATCTGAGTCTTTAACCCTCTTAATCTGTTCCCTTTTAAAAGCAACAAAAACATTTATATATATATAATGTTATATATATATATATATATATATATATATATATTAAACATATATATATATACTGCATATTTAAAAAAAAAAAGAAACAAATAAATGTATTCTTATACTTATACAGTTTTCATTCATTTAACCTGTACTGATGAATGTCCTCAAAAGACTTGGTATTGTTGATGGCAAAGACACAGAGAAAGCCCTCTCCGGTCCTCATGTACTGGTCTCTCATTGCACTGTACTCTTCCTGACCTGCAGTATCCAGGATATCCAACAGACACGTCTCTCCATCAATCACCACCTGTTTCCTATATGAGTCCTGTGAGGAAGAACAATGCATAAATATCCAATGTAAGATGCAACATATAATGAAATGTATTCTGTTACTGATAAAAGAAAGTGGAAACTGTAGCCTGTTTGGCCAAAACGGTGGGAATGTTTTACCCTCAGATGACATTTTGATGTTCCATATTCATATATCTGAAATTATGGATCTTTATTCTGAACTGAGGTCTATTAAATTAAAAATAAATAAATAAACAAATACTTATTAAATAAATTATTAAATATGAGACAAAGGTAAATGACAGAAAATACCATGCTGACATTTGGTTTACCTCAATGGTTGGGTCGTATTCATCAACAAAGTGGTTCTGAATGAGCTGGATTGTCAGAGCACTCTTGCCCACACCACCTGCACCAACCACCACTAACTTATATTCCGTCATTCTCACTGCTACTGTGTCCGAAGCTGAGGGAAAACAAGGAACGAGGAAATTTGAGAAAATAAAGAATTTGGGAAAATTCTGAATAAATCATTAAAGGTCTTACACTTGAAACAGTCTGTTGGACAAATTAAAATGAGCTGACAAGGAAATAAAACTCTAAGTGAAAACAGTAAAAAAGGGAAGCCAGTCAACATCTAGATAAAGTGTACAAGAGTTTCCTGGAGTGAAGCACTCATCCTGCCGACAGTATTTAATACAGATGAAATTACCCTTGTGTCGTGTGATGTGACACAGGACAAAAAGAAAAGCTATTTTAGGCTGCCAGGGGAAACTTACACAGGGCTTTTCCTGACAGTGATCTATCATTATAGATCAGTGATTCATTATTTCCAAAGTTATTATACCTAAACAAACCTAATAAAATAAAATATGGATCCTCAGGAGGTGAACTTCAAAGAATCTACATATAATAGAGGACCATCTATGTATAAACAATTTTTTATATTTCCTTACTTATGGAGCAGATAACATACCTATAATATTTAAATAACCAAATATAGAGTATAAAAAAGGTTATTAAACAATTCTGTTATTTGCTATGGAGATCAAAAGGAATTATGGGTCATTTGAATAATTGTGCACTATTTAAAAAAATATATCAGTCAAGCCATCAGGTTCAGCTGTGCTCAATGGACACAGCATCAAGTATTCCATTTGAAAATCTATTTTTAGCTCTTGCACCTGTCATGTAGCCCTACCTGTAAAAATCTTTTGATTTTTTTCCTGCTGGACATTTTTACAACTTTTATATTACTTTTAGGCTCTGGATCATGGTAAAGCATCAGGTCAGGCTTTGAATTTGAATTGACTAGAATCAAAATTGTTTTTTTGCCCATAAAATTAGTGATCATACTGTACCAGGGGTGTAACCCTTTAAAGACTTTCACAACACACACAACAACGCACACAC